TCTCTGCCATCCTCGTAGTTGCCTCGTAGTCGTCGTCGACGTTCGTACACGTTGTCCTGTGCCTGGCTGTGTATATCTGTCTGTCTGTCTGACGTTGTCGTCGTCGTAGAGCTGTGTGCTGCTGCTGCTGCAACTCTAATGAAGAAGGGCGATACATGAAGAAGGAACATTAGTGTGTTACCTAGGAGGACGATAACGTGCGCCCGGCAATGTGCCGGCACTGGTGCACAGTACAGGGCGCCCAGTACTACTGCGACGAGCGAGGCGCACAGGGGAGAGATGATCAAACCAGAGAGGCAACGGTATCAAATGCGACAAGTGACGCAGGGAAGAGCAGCAGACGCTCAGTGACACTGCTCTCACAGTGCTCTGGACGCTGTGAAGGCTCCAACAGGCTCACCGGGCCACTTTCTACCAAGTAAGGGGAAAAGAAAGAGAGAGAGAGTCAGTGGAGGCACCGTGACGTCTCTTGGTCAGTAAATCGTTGCCCAGTATTGAGTGTATTGAGTGTACTGTCTCCCGTTCCGGTGTGATGTGATCTGATTTCACCGCCGCCTTCTCTTCCACTCGTCAGTTCACTGCAGACGACAGAGCTCACTAAGACAGGGCTCTTCTTCTTCTGCTCGCAACTCCTCCATCCGCCAGTGCGGACAGGCGAAGGTGATGACTCCTCTAAATAGAAACCAAACGAAGAGGAAGTGCCAGTGTCTGCGGTGCTGTTAAAATTAGATCACAAAAGCGAGCGCTCAGACACACACAGACCAAGAGGAAGACAGAAGAAGAACAATTCAGTGGAAAAGGCGACGGTGACAAATGCTGACATTGTCTCCGCCTAATGAAGCTATCGACAAATGCCGGCAAATGACGAGCTGCGGCAGTAGTCGAGCTTTTGTTTACCACAAACACAGACTTGCTCATTAGCAAACCTTAATGATCACTACCGCTGACTACCATTATGACATGTTCTGCACTCATTAATCAGAAGTCGAGCGAGGCGAAAGTTTGCCCCCTTTTGCCTCTTTAGGAGCTTCATTTTACACTTTAAAGAGACAAAACTGTTTTATCGATTCAGCAAAAGTGCTGCTGTACAATGACAGCTACCAAATGGCAATATATTGGCCAGTTACCTTTGCTTTCAAGAAGAGAATTGGGAGGTAGTATTGACTACTGCAACTGTTTAGTGGCTGCATTTCCTGCTTTCAAATCATCATCATCGTTGTACATCTAACTGCTCTCAACTGAAGAAGGAAGAAGGTGAGGCAAAGGTTGCCTTTATAGTGCAATTGTCTCGCAGCAGTCAGGTCTTTAAAGTGAAGGCTCAGCAACAGCAGCAGCAGCAGTAGCGGTAGAGAAGATCTCACTTGAACAGGAAAGAGAACGATCGATGACAGAACAGAAGAGGCACGTCAGGGAAGGCAGACGATGTAAGTGAGCACCAGCAGCACCAGCAGCAGCACTTTGCCGGCGCCGGCACATGTTTCACTGCAGTGGCTATCGATCCGAGTTCGGTCTCCTTTTTGCTGCTTTGGCCTACCGCACACACAACACAGCACCGAGTCACTCAATCACCACACTGCAAGACTGTCGCTGAAACTGTGGGTGAAAGCTGTCAAAGTGGAACATTGGATACCGAGGCATGACAGGTCACAGATACTGATTAGTCCTGGTCGAGCTGAGGAGTGCCAGTCTACCGCTCGAGTTATGCGGTTGTTGTACAACTATGCACTGCAGTACCACTACTGCTGGTGAACCTGTTGCTGCATGACCAATGCTTAGAGCACAGTCCTGGTCACACAGCAGAGAACACTGCAAAGCAAATTGACTGATCATGAGTCGACAAAAGTTGACAAAGAAGAAGAGGACTAACTTGGACTGGCTTCGACGTGACCTTGCATTTATTTGGCTAAGAAAGAAAAAGAACGGTAGAAAATGCACCCATTTTGAGGCACAGCGGAAACGGAAACCGCTTGCTGTGCCGGTGTGCAATGTTATTTTGGCAGTTGGCTAAACTTATCAAGGGAGACTTGTACAGTAGTACTAATTGCAAGCGCCAACTGAAGATGGGGCGACAGTATAAAGTGCTGATGGTGGTTGTAGCTAAAAGGAACACCTGCTCTTTTCCTCATCAGCTAGTATTGCAGTTGTAGAGTCAAGGAAATGCTAATCGAAATAGACAGAGATGTGCTCATTAAAAAACACCAATGTGCCGCCACATTGCCAATAACTCAATTTACGTTAGCGTAGAGAACGAGTTTGTGCATTGCATTGATAATGTCTGCATATTCAAAGTGGTACCTCACTGACTGAGTAGTCACCTTGGCGTTTTACTTTGAGTGATTGCAGCAGCTAAATTGAGCTGTGTGTGTGTCTAGACAAAGTCTGCTGAATGAGGTGAAAAGTGGACAGCAAAGAAAAAGGGGAAATTACCCTAAATTTGAAAGGAAGCGCTGAAAGTGACGCTAACCGATTTGAAAAGAAGAAAAAGAAGAAAAAACTTTACTTACAAAATGAGAGTTGTTTTCGGTTGAATAGAGTGTCAATCCTCGGTGTATTCTGGCGCAGGGCATTGTGTGTGTTTTTTCTGTCTCCTCTCGACACTGTCCACTTTTGCCGGTGCTTTATATACACTCGCAGTGTATGGCAGCCATCTGCCCAAACTGACAAATCATCTCGGTCAATACATTTCTCAGGTGCAGTTCATTCGGCAGTTCTCCAGCCACCAGTGTGTGCTGCTGCTGCTTTACCTTTGCGAGCAGAGACAAATCGCCAGGTAGTGTCGAGTACAGTGACAAGGCATAATAATCCAGGAGACCGGCGACTGCCTGCCACCACCTGACGGCTAACCTGGACTAGCTGCTGCTGCTGTTGCAGGGGCTAATTAATTGGCCAACAGCGACACTCCAACAACAACGGTGGAGGTGTTCAAAGCCGACAATGACAATTCGATTTTCAAACTAACTCTATGGCCATCTTCAACCAAACTGCTGCTGCTGCTGGATATATGGTGAAAGCACCTCAGTAGATTGGTCAACAGTTCAACAGTGAACAAAGTTCAACTCAAAGTTGAATCACACAGCTCTTCTCGGGTCTAGACACTGCTGCTGCTGCTCGTGTGGCCATTAGACACAAGGTGTGCCGTGGGATCAATACAATAAAAGGAAGAGCTTACAGTGCTTCGAAGTGAATCTCAGTTGCCAGCAAAATGCTGACATCACATAGCGGATGTACTGGTGGTGGTGGTGAGGATGAATCCACCAGTGAGCACCATCGACAAATTGTCCACTCATGTCAGGCTGACAGCATCACACACAGCATTCGAGCAATTTCATTGCTTTTTGCAAGCTGTCATGAATTGCCGACTAGCACTTGCTTACCTGTCACTTCTCGCACCTCATCGTCTTCTGGGTAGTCCTCTCTTGGGACAGTGGAGCCAGTGCTAATCATCACCACTGTAGTCTTTCTGCTAATGAGTCTCCCTCTCACTGTGCACTAATTGCCATTGCAGTCCCTTCTTGTCATTTAATGCTGACACTACCTGTCACTTCTCAGTGTCGCCCAGTAATTGTCGCTGTCTGTTGATTACTTACACTGCACACTCTTTGGGTGATTGGTAGATGACGATGGCGATGAGCGAACCTTATCACCACCTAACGCCTTCTTAGATTACAGATTAAGATTGAGGCTGGCCTACTCCTTGCTGTTCTAGCAGTTGACACAACTGTTCATTGAACAGATAACCAAAAATGCCTCAAATGCCGCAGATTTTCAAAACGCTCATTTTCTTTTTTTATGCAATGAGCAGATCCTATTGTGAGCCTGTGCGAGTGTTGCCAGGTTTAGATTGGAATTTAAACTAACAATTTAGCAATAGATGTGCGTTTGCCGACTAATGGCCTTCATTTCCGCCTGTAGTTGATGATGATGGTAGTCGTGAGACAACCTTCAGTTATTGAGGGAACGCCTCTGCATCGATTAAACTGATCAGTACAGCCAATGTAATTCGAAGTACAGGCAATGTTTGCACTTCAACCCTGCCATCTGCAAAAGCAGCAGCAGCAGTAGCTCTTGACGTCAGCGACAGCAACTCTTCAGGTCACTGGAGGAGTCTGTCCAGTGGTGCTCAGTGGTGGCCAGACAGAAAGTGAGTAGCGGCTTCGATTCTTCGCCGTCTATTGCCGCAAGTATGGGTAATCACCGCCGCTTCTGCAAGGCTGCTGCTACTGCCCGAGACGGGAACCAGTTTGGCAGAGAGAGGCAGCTGCACTCTCTCCGCCGCCGCAGCCCGATGCCCAAATAAGCACCTAACTGGTGGTTGTCCTGGCGATGATGATGATGATGCTCCGATGACAATGCCGGGAAATATTCTTTGCAGGCAGCTGCACCAGAGGACTGGGGTGCCGTGAGCAAGTGCTAGGCAAACAGCAGAAGAGAGCGAAGGCAAATATTTGATTCGCGCGCGCTCTTCACTCCAAAGTTCATCCGATAAGAGCAGCAGCAGCTACAGTGGTGGTGCCCCCACTTGTAGGGTGGCACTCTCCACGAAGGCTCTTTTCTGAGACACACTGCCTGCCGATGGCTGCAGTGGTGGAAGGCGCGAAGACCCTGAGTGGCAGCGTCACTGCCGCGTCCTGCACATGCCCTCCAAAGGTGTGGCCAAGTGGCAAGTGACTGTTGCAGTTGCAGTGGCTTCACCGACAACGGCTGAACACGCACAAGCACACTCACACACACACACACACAGAATCGTTGAGGGCTGAGTTATTGTTGACTACCTTTGGGGTCTCTTCATCTGCTGAATCCCAGCACCGTCACCACCATCACCACCATCACCACCCAACTGCATCAACTGCAGCATTTGCTTGGAGGACAACATCTCGCATTGACAGTGTGCACTTTACCCTGTCGTCTCCTCGTTGGTGTTCCGCTTCAATTCCCACCAAACTCATCCCTTCACCCGGTTACCGGCTTTTAATTTGCACCGAGGAAAATCAAAGAAGATCATGGCTACGAAAAGCAGTAAGAAGCAGTCGGCTGGTGCGGCAGCAACTTCGACCACCATCGAGCCGGTGGCACCGTCGACACCGCAGTCTTCGCACTCTTCGTCCCAGCAATCAACGCCCGGCACCCGACCGGTGTCACCGGCTCGCATTTCTCGCATTCAAGAACGTGCCGAGCTGCAGAATTTGAATGACCGTCTGGCCGCCTATATTGAGCGTAATCGTCAGCTGGAAAGTGAAAATTCGAAATTAAGAGTACACGTCCAGAAAAATGTTGAGCAACGGGAGATTGTTTCGGTCAAGAAAATGTACGAATCAGAGCTTGGGGATACCCGTAAGACACTTGATGCTATTGCCAGAGAGAAGGCTCAGGCTGAACTGCAGCTCAGCCGAGCTCAGGAAGATCTTAAAAAGTTGGAGACAAAGTAAGTTACTGCATTAATTTTGTCTGTTTACACTAGCTCTAACCTCTGTTGTTTTCGTCAGATTCAACAAAAAGAACACCGAGCATGCCAACCTGGAGAAAAAGTTTAACAACTTTGAAGCACAACTGGACGAGCTACGGAAGCAGCTTAACCAAGGCATTGCTGAGCGTAAGCGTCTTGAGGGAGAAATCCGGAACTTGAACGAGGAGAATAAAACTCTGGACGACAAGTCAGAGAGTCTGAAGAAGCAGCTCGAGGAAGAGACCATTTTACGTGTGGATCTTGAAAACCGCAATCAAAGCCTGAATGAAGAGCTGCAGTTTCAGCGAGAGCTGTACAATAAGGAGCTCGAAGAAGTGCGCATTAAGGAGTTCGAAATCAAGGAGGTGTACCAGGAGAATGTCAAAACGCAATACGAGCAGAAGCTAAATAAGGAGCTGACTGAGCTGCGTGAGGAAAATGAAAATCGACTGGCTCAGTATCGTCTGGAGCTTGAAGATAAGTACGAGGCGCAGCTCGGTGCAGTTCAGGATGATCTGGAGCGCAAAGTGTCTGATCTTCAGAACGCCCAGAGCAAGATTAAGCAGCTCAACTCGACCTACACTTACATGACAAGCGAAATTGACCAGGTGAAGAAAGAAAACAAGAGCCTGAAGGACAAGGTCGCTGATCTTAATAAGCTGATTGAGCAAGAGCGAGACTGGAATCAGGCAGCTCTTAACCGAAAGGACCAGGAGGTGGCCGATTTGAACTCTAGATTGCAGGCGGTGCTCGATGAAAATAAGGATCTGGTGGATGATAAGATCAAGTTGGACAATGAGCTGGCAACCTACCGAAAGTTGCTCGAAACGGAAGAGAATCGCCTCAACATCTCTCCACAGGTTGCCTCCTCGCCTCTAGTGTCCACCAGCTCGATTGGCTCCTACACACCAAAAGCCTTCATTGCGCGAGGCCAGAAGCGAAAGCGAATTTGCCTTAGTGAGGAGGAGAACTTGTCAGACTTGATGGTCACTTCCAATGCCAAAGGGGACGTTGAAATCAGTGATCACGACCAGGATGGCAAGTTTGTGAAGCTTCTTAACAAAGGCGAAAAGGAGGTGTCACTAGGTGGATGGCAGCTGATTCGTCAAGCTGATGGACTTGAAACACGCTTCAAGTTCCATCGCTCCATTTCCATCAAGCCTGGTCAGACAGTCACCGTGTGGAGCTCTGACTCTAACGCTGTTCACCACCCGCCATCGGACATTGTCATGAAGGCTCAGACCTGGTTCACTGCCGAGAAGATGAGCACTGCTCTGTTCAACACCAACTCTGAGGTAAGAAGCTTTTCGAAACTAAGAGTATTTGCAAATGTTAAATGTTTGTGCATTTTTTCTTTATCACAGGAAATGGCATCACGAAACACTGAAAAGAAAATTTCTTCGCATTCACAGCGATTTTCTTCGCATGGATATTTAACTAATGACGTATGAGTTTGGATTTTGATTGTTTTTAACTGTTACTTATTAACTTTTTTTATTGCAGAATGAAAATGAAGATCAGCAAAAGTGTGCCATCATGTAAGGCATCTAGAAAAGACGTCTTGCACTATACCGTCACGTGTTTTTATCGGAAAAGCGCCATCTTTAACAAAAAGCTTTATTCTCTCGTCAATCACTGCATGCCGATAACTTCTTCCTGATAATCAAACCCGTATGTGTCTTGCCATATTCACTATTGTGTTATTTTTTTCTATTACTTAAATCACACACTAAATATGCTGCACACTTTTATTTTCGGCATACAATCTATTTTCCCCATCAATTATTCACTTTTTTCGTCTTTTGATTATTCCAATGTCAGCTCTGGCCATGTCAGTATTGACCCCCACAATGTCAGAATATTTATTTATCTTTACATATTTTGTCTATTTCACTGCACAAAACTGACTTTAACTGATTTTTTGTAGCACTTTTCAAACACCTAAACATGCACATCTTATCTTGATTATTGATTTACCTAAATGTTTGAATCACTGTTGAACATCATCCAGCTGCCTTGAAACGTTATTCATTAAGTACATTCAGTTTTTTGTCTTATTTTTGAAACTACATCTAGCACTGATTGAAGTTATTATTTTGTAAACCGGTGCCATTCACATTTCAGCTTTAACCATGTTTTTTCGCACTATTTTGGCTGCTTTACTAAATTATTTAAAACTATTTTTTGCTTTTTGAGTATTAAAGATTTGCATTACGAAGTTATCATCAAATTATAACGTGCTTTATTTGACAGTTGTTCAATTGCTTTTGGGGATAAAAAGGCACCAGAAGTAGAGAGAGAGAGGGAGGGACAGTTTGTTCAGTATTTGTTGCTGTGTTGCTGTATCGTAATTGAGAAGTGTGTCAGCGAAGCTGCAGTCGGCGAGGATGGGGCCGCTACATGTTCCTGGCTTAACTATGGGGTTTGTTCATGACCAGTGGAGGCAGACTTGTGCCGGAGTGATCACATTCAGGTAGAGCAGTTAGGACTAGACAGATTGCAGACTGGTGCTTCTACTAGTGTGTAGTAGTCGTTCCTTTTTCTTCAGCCATTCATTCAGAGGGCATTCTTCAGCTCAATGTACGGTATGCCGTACGTTTCGAAGCGGTCATTTGGCCAGTACCTGCGGGGAAACAAAACAGAGAGTGTGTTGTTGAGGTGAGCAGGCTCAACTTTGGCAGTGGCCAAAACAAAGTGTAGTTACCGCAAGACAGGCAGAAGCTCATCGTGTTCGTTGGTCGCCTGGAAGTAGGCAAAGAGAATGCAGACGGTGTAGGAGGCAATGGCGATGAGGACGTGCCAGACGCCGTGCAGGTACGGCGCATTGTACGCCGACCAGGTCTCGCAGAACATTCGATCGAGAATCCAGCTGATGACGGCCGCTGCCCAGCACAGGCAGCACCGAACGCCCAGTCGTTTCACTCGCTGTACTCGGCATCTGCAGGTAATGTAGTTTCGAGGTTAGTTCAATGAAAATGCATTTGCAGATGAGGGGACAGCATACCTTTTTAGCTCTTTCGTCAGCAGCATGAACGTGGGAATGCCTAGGCTCATCAGTGCAAAGCTGTTGATCCAAGGGTAGATACAGGCCATGAAGGAGGCCACTACACTGATGCCTATCATCAGCCGCTTAAACTTGCGTCTAAATTAAACAGATTGATCAGTTGTAGGGTTTTAACGGGTGCTCATCAGTTTACCGGTCATCATTGAGCCACTTGGGGTAGTACTTCTTGGGCAGCCACATTCCAAATGAAAAGGCCAACAGCCAGAGAATGGCTAGCTCATCCAGCAGCTGTCCCAGAAGGCTCAGGGTTGCGTGAAAGTAGGCGGAAGCAATGCCGACTACCGCAAAGAGAACCCATATGACGTAAATGCCTCGATCGATGTTGTTTGCGTACTGCCTCGACAGTTGAATCAAAATGGGCGGGAAAACGAGGAAGAGGACATTGGAGATCTGCAAAAAGATCAAGTTGTTTCAGTCTGACATTTTCATAGCTCTCATAACTCTTCAAACTCCAGCAACCTACCGTGTTGATAATCTCGGCGATGAAGGGTGAGTGTGTGTAGTTGAACTCACACCAGTCCACTGGCGAAGTGCCGCGCTCAAGAGCGTACAGCAGCGACATTGTCGAGTCAAGGTCCAGTGGAAGTTTGGAGTTCTGTGTCAATAAACAATGGTAAGTATACTAATGTTTGAAAGTAGAAATGCTTTCGTCGAGTGTGACACAATTGGCGAGGCAGTTGAAGAGAGTGCTTTTCAATTATTTATCAACTCTGATGAGGCGCGACATTGCGCAGCTTTGACAGCAAATGGCATCGGTGAAACAAGCAAAAGGGGAAAGAATATGACAAATGGCAGCAATGGCAGTGTTCTGTGATGTTTGCTAGCAAATGAACAAACTGGTCAAGCTGTTACTGCTGCTGCTGGTGTTTGTGGCCTGTCTGAGGGCGCCAGTCAAAGGAGGCCGGTCCGGCGGTGCACTCTCCTCTAATTCCGATCAACATTACCATTTGCACTAATTCTCCCGTGTAATCGGCAAACTTTGTGCGCCAGTCACTACTGTTCACCGGAGAGGAGAAAGAGGGGGCGCCGATTTGTGAATGTCATTGTGGAATACATTTTTTTGTTTGTCAAACACTCTCTGCAAGTATCACACACTTTGCTCTCCGACTGTCGGCCGGTTTTGCACAGCAAATAACCGGAGGCCTGCTAGGCAATGGCTACTACCAATTTGGCTGGGGAGAATAGGCATTTCAAATGCAAAATACGACAATGAGGCACGACTTTTTATTGTTTCCTTGTAGCCTATATAGCCATCCAAAATAGAGTGATTGTGAGCTATTTTAGAATCAAACTCAGCACTCAAACAACTTCTGAATCTCATCTTTGGTTTGCTGCACAATGAATCTTCACTATGCGTAGAAATTGTCAAATCACTAACTTCAATACGGGAGATAGTTGAGCAGAGCACAGGAAAAAAGTTGCGACCCAGAGAGTGAGTCTAATCGGTCATTGCATCAGACAGCAGCAGCATCATGTATGGCACACACCAAAAGTGCCAAATGCACAAAACAGTATTTTTAGTTTACACATAAAGAAGAAAACAGACAGCCAAATAAACAGCAACAGACATGTTTAGAAAAGTGCTGATAAAACGCGCCGTCGAACAGCAAAGCTGACTGCAGATGGCAAAAAGACCGCAGCCGTTGAAGAAAAAGAACAAGAATGCAAAAACAAGTGAGGTAGGAAATGAACACTGCTGTGGCCATAAATTAGAGTAAAAATGGAAGTGTATATAATACCATTTGCAGCAGTGATGGAGAAGGCATCCTGAACGGTGAAAGTGTTGGTCTTGCTGGTATTTAGTAGTGGTTGGTAGCGTCCAACAATAGCGACTACATGAACAGCAGATGAGAGTGGTGAGATTACTGCTGCTGCTACACGCGGAAGTGTCAGTACTGCACTTCGGCTTTACTGCAAATGAATGGACGAAATTGATGGTGCACTAGATGCTGTTCTTCGGTGTTTGTTGTTTTATTGACTGGTGACGGGCGCTGGTGAAGCTGTTTACTTTGTTCCGTTACCTAAGTGCGACGATAACTTTTTTTCTTTCACTCTCACTGATACTGATTATGCAGTGCGCCCCCGTGTGTGTTATGTAAGCAGTCGAAGTTGTTTTCTTGATCGACTGATTAGAAGTGTCTCTTCAGCTGCTGGTGGTGGCTCACAATGGCTGAAGGGGCATTTTACAGGGTGGCTCGGCGAAGATAGGGGAAGGTGATTGACGGACACACTGATTGAAGCAAGGAAGGAGAGCGAGAGGTGGATCAGAAAAGCGAGAGTGAAGTGTGAAGGTCAAGGTGAGCAGGAGATGGCAGACGACCGATGTGAGCTGTCCAATAAGCGACAAGCGGCATTATTCGGTCACTGGCAAAGTGGACAGAGTGCACAGGTGACTTTAGTAGTGCACTGTCAATAAGAAGAGCACTGAGAGCAGCAGCGTCTTCAGTGGGTCAACGCTCGGAACAGGGGAAAGCAGAAGAAGCAGCAGCTAATGATGGTGCTGCACTTACTCACTGACAACACTGGTGCACTGGTGGGTGGAACGAATTAGGCTGTTGGCACAAACAAGTTTGAGCTTCAGCTGGGTACTGGCATTCGGAGCTGGATATTGAAGCTATTCATGGCTAGTCACTGCTGGATAGTCTCTAGAATGACAACGGTTGACACTGATGCACTTCAGCGGAGGATGCGGTTTAGATGCGATGTGAAATGTGGCAGACGTGAACAATGGAAAAGAAATATCTTTGATTGTAAATATGACAGTCTGGAGTGTGTGAGCGTTTTCCCAGCTCAGTGGGTTCGAGCGTATGCTGCGCTGTTTGTGAAAGTGAACGATGCCAGCGACTGAGGGCTCGACTGTGCCAATCACTTGCTCAATCACGAGTTCACATGCCGCCGAGTGCTTACTGCGCCGTCTTCCACTTCTTCCTCTTCTCAGGAGAACTGTTCATCTGTTTTTTTGCAGTCTGCCATCTGCATCGAAATCTTTTCTCCTCCTCCTCCTCCTCACTCACTCACTCACGCTCTTTCTTTCTTAATCAGTGCATCTTGCTGAAGCTGTCAGTTTTCCACTTCTTCTTCGGCTTCAGCTACAGCTTCAGCTTCGCCTGCAGCAGTCAAGCGGCGGTAATCTTGCCCACCATAACGGCACTACAGCATCAGCAGCAGCAACGGCACGTTGCACGTAGTATTGCGTAGTTGATGTGAAGTTGTAGTTGTGAGCGTGTGTGAGTGCAAGTCTGCCTGTCTGTTCAGCTTTTCTTCTGTGACTTACTACTGCCAAAGGACCGGTGAGAGAGTGGAGAGAAGTGAGAAAACAACAAGGGAACAGCACATGAGCAGGGAGCCAGTCGCCAAAGCGCCCCGACCACATTGGCTCGAGCTAGTGGGCATCCGCAAGCACGCACGCAGAACAGTGGGGAAAGTGTTGCCGAAGCTGACGAGTCGAACAATACAGGGCAGAGAGAAGAGAGAGTGG